TTATAATCCTACTAATATTATAAATGTGATCGTTTGGGAAAATGTATAGATGTACCTATGTCTGTTATTTTTCACGCAAAAACGGCTGGACCGATTTTGTTCAAATCAGATAAGTAATACCCTGGGTTAACACAGTCTGCTTTTTATCAACATACGATGCGGGCGAAGCCCCGTGTGGAACAAATCTATACTAATAATTATAAAGAGGTAAAATTTGTAAGTTTGTACCTATGCAGGAGGTAATCTTTGAAACCGTTGGTCTGATTGTCAAAATTCTTTCACTGATTGATAGCTACAATGTTCCTGAGTGCTAAAGGTTTACGATTAAATGTAGCCGAGCAGCGGATGAAACCGCGTGAAAGTAGCAAGTCTAGGATACTTACGTCTCCAACTATTACAGTTTTCATATTCCATGTCGCAGTAATTATCAAATGTTTTGTATTGACCATCGTAGTGGCGTGCGCAGATCACATTACGTCTGGAAGAATGGTCACATTTTATTTATCCTATTGCACTAAAAACCAGCTTCGTAGCCCTAAGTCTCCGAGTTCGAACAATGGAGAAGAAGTCAAGTCAAGAAGTAAAATCATTTATTTCATATAGTAGTTAGTCAAAGACAAAGTCAAAGTCGAAACGTTTATTGCAAACTTTATTATACCTAGTTAGCATAGCATAGTTAATTAGTTATAGCTCAAGGTTTAACTTTATGCGTGTCAGTCTGTCCGCCTGTCGTCTAGTGAAACTATTTGCTCGTTCCAAAGTGTAGATTCCATTAGAGAAGAACAGTGAGCAGTTAGTGCCAACCATGGACTCCCGAAGAGCTACGAAAGAGCTACGTCGCCCACCTTTTGGGTATAGAGATGTGGAGATTCAGGGATTGGTGCGGGATTGAGGGTGAGGAAGGATGAGGCAATCCTCTAAAGGTTTGCAAGATACCTCTGGTTCACACATGCCCCAATTGCCATTGCCTTAACATCGTAAAAAAAACTTACTTGTAAAACCTGGGACACATCTTCAGAAAAACGATACATCCTTTATCAATGAGATCAGCTTTTTTGAAAACAGTTTTCTTTGGATAGTATAGCACTTTCCATGGTCTGGGATGACTGGCGTTAACATAATTGGCTTGCGCATTTAATGAATCAGCCATTATTACTGAAAAGGAGCAAAAATATAACCTAAAGCGGCTTGTCGGTTAACACAATGGATGGTCACAAGTTCACAACTAGTTGTTTCGCAACATGTCACGGTTAAGTTTCTTCCATATTCGAAAAACTTTTGTATCGGGTAATTTTGTGTACTGAATAGGAGACAACCGATCACATTGATCATTTAAGCTTCAGTTTTGAGAGATGAGAGAGGTTACCGGAGGCCTAATCCTTCCCCTTTTTAATCCCTCGCCAATCCCGAAATCTCTAAATCCCTTGTCTACATAAAGTCGGCAATGCACTCGTAACTGGTTGTGCTTGCAGTGTCCACGGGCGGCGCTGATTGCTTACTATGAGGTAAGACCTAGCAGATGAAAAAATATATCTCCGCCACCTATGGATGGCTACGACAACAGAGAAGTCACAGGCTAGTTGTCGGCCTTTTAAGTAGGAGTACGCTCATTTCATCGCTTGGAAGTTTAAAAGTCGTATCGGTTAGGAAATACCGCCGCCACGGAAGATTGTTCCAAAATTATGTTGTGCTTTACGTATGTGAAAATAATACTTTTACAATTCATATATTCTGATTACGCCGTGTATGCAATAAGCATTTCAAAAGAGAAAAAGACTAGAAAAGAGCAAAGATATATTTGAAAAAGAAAAAACGATTTGAACAAGGTGTTGTGGTTAATACTCTGGTTTTCGCTAATCGTATATTGATAAATCTGCAGTGAATACACTGCAGGAATTATTTATTTATAAAAATAAATCTTATCTCTTAAGCAAATAAGTACAGTATCAGACATTGACAAGAGTGTTTACCAAGTTAAATATATCGTAAAATAAGAATAAACTGAATTAGGTACCTAAGTTAAGGGCAATATTAGTGAACTACCTATAAAATTCGCTATACAAACTAATATTATAAATGCGAAAGTAACTCTGTCTGTCTGTCTTATCTTCACGCCTAACTATTGAACCGATTTCTGTGAGATTTGGTACAGACATCGACAAAGGACATAGAATAGTTTTTATTCCAAAAATCTGCAGGAAGTCACTATTCCACGCGAACGGAGTCGCGGGCAAAAGCTAGTAATACCATACTACTAGATTTTGTTATACCACTTAGTTGGCTTTTCGTTATCTAGATAGCCTGTTAAAACCAATTGTTATTAATAGCCATAATAGAGCCAAACTACCCTCGGTTATCATTTAGAAGGTTCCCTATTCACTGGCGAATTGATATTTTAGGTAGAGTCGAGAAAATATAAACGCGTGAGAGAGCCATGTTCACGTCACGAGTGGACCAGCTTAACCGGAGTGATATCATGGGCTCACAGAAAACTGACCTTTTTTTTTACTTGCAATAAACTAGTGCTTGGCTGCGATCCCACCTGATGGTAAGCAGTGATGCAACCGTTGATGGTAAGGCGCACTAGTTTATTAAGAGTCCATTCACTCTAGCCTTGAAGACACCTAAATTGTATTCGGACGGAAAGACTGCAGCCGGAAAAACTGACGTGGAAGAACAGGTGCGTTGTGTTTCGCTGCATGAGTGAGGTTAAAGGGGGCTTATCACCCCAAAAAACCACACACAGTGTTGGAGAGCTAGAGAGAAAGCTATGCTTCGGCACGAATGGGTCGGCTCGACCGGAGTAATAACTATCACGGCCTCACAGAAAACCAACAACTTGAAACAACTTGTGTTTCGCCGTGTCAGTGAGGTCCATTCCGTCTCATCATCCAATCACTAAGTCTCCAGATCCCTAATTTCCAAAAGTTCGGCAACGCACTCGTAGCTTCTCGTCCCGTCCATGGGCGGCGCTGATTGCTTACTATTAGATAATCAGTCTGGTCGGTAATCAAAATACAACACTTTTAAACTCCTCTAAACTATGGAGGGTCTACAACTGTCGTCAATTGTTTACAATTTCAATTTAAATGGGATGATCAGAATTATTATCACAACACAGGATAAAACAAAGTCGTTTTCTCTGTCCCTATATCCCAATGTATGCTTAAAACTATGAAACAGACATCAATTAAATAGTGGAGATATTAGCATTGCACCCGTGTGAAGTTGGGGCGGGTCGCTAGTTAGAATATAAATTCAAACTTACATATGTCCACGACCTAGTTAATGACCAAGATAATATGACGTTCTACCAAGAATAAATTAAAATTGTTTTTACCAAAAAGTCAATTTTTTATGGCCACCCATGGACACCCGCAACAGCAAAGCAGTTATGAGCGCGTTGCCAGCCTGTTGGGAATAACGGAGGGAGGGGACTCACAAAGCGAAACACAACGCTGTGGTTGTTTCACGCCAGTTTTCACTAAGGCCGTGGTATTACTCCGGTCGAGCCGACCCATTTGTGTCAAAACATGGCTCTCCTACACTTCATCGAATCAATTCAAATCAAATCACCATCAAATCGAATTCTTTATTTCAAGTAGACCACAAAAGGCACTTTTCTACGTCAAGCAAAAAAAATATCATAAGGTTTAACTTTATATGTGTCAGTCTGTCCGTCTGTCCTCTAGTGAAGCTATTTGCTCGTTCCAAAGTGTAGATTCCTATGGAGAAGAACGAGAAAGAAACTCCATAACGATCGATTGCCAAAAACGGAACACAAGTTGGTAAAAACTGCCAAGTAAAAATACAATATATGATTTATGATAATTACTTACGAAGTAAAAAACCGAAAAATAAAACCGTTGTGCAATAAAACATTTTTATACTGTACACGTCTAACTTGAGTGTGGTTTTAAAATAAAATTGTTAATATTTTCCACCGAAACCTATGATCGTAAAAATTGCAAGTAGAAAATCGAAAAAATTGTAATTCATTTTGTTGGTTATAATTATTTTTTGTTTTACGATAACGAGTAAGCTGTATCTACATTATAAAACTCAAAGGATTGACTGACATAGTGACCTGTCAACGCACAACCCATACCACTAGACGGATCGGACTGAAAATTATGACATGCAACTTGATTAAAAATAAAAATGACGTCTCAAGGATTTTTGGAAATTCACTCTTTAGGAGGGTAAAATATGGGTTAGTTTGTGTGAAACTCTGTAAATACAAATGGGTATTTGGCTATTTGGTGAAAAAAAAAGGCTGAAGTGTTTAAGTGGGTGGAAAGGGATTAGTGTCTAAAGAGGGAGGAAAGGGAATGAAAGACAATAGTGACTGACAATATCTGATATGATGAGTTGCACAGAGTTACCTCATATTATGAAGTAACTCTGGGCAACAATATATAAAATTCATTTTATAATCTTATAATCTTTATCTATATCTATAGATACTTATATTATAAATGCGAAAGTAACTCTGTCTGTCTTTTCCTCAAGCCTAATCTACTGAACCGATTTCAGTGAAATTTGGTACAGACATTGTTTGGGACTCGAAAAATGACATTGGTTGTGTTCTGGTGGTGAACTATCCTTGGTCACCAACCACAGAACCTCGCTTTCGGTGGGCGGAGGTCTCAAAAAACCTGAACCTTCCGAACTGCGACTTTCAACTAATGTACCGAATAACATTCTTCTGTGCAAAGATATTCAAATGGTGGATTGTGGAATGTTATTATTGTTGTGGTGATAAAAAATAAAAATAAAATTAATACATTATAAAAATAAAAATAAATTCAATATAATTAATCACCTTTAATAAAATGATTAACTTGGTTACATTATATGTATAAAAAACTATTCTGAAGAGATTATGAAGAGAACATGAGATATTTATTTACAATAATGGAGCGTATACAAATGAACGTTTGGTATAATTTTCTTTGACAATATTCCCATCTGGGTAGATTTATTCATTTCATGGCCGTCTAGTCTTCCTCACTAGATCCTCTAGCAAGGTTTTTGGCTTTCGCTAACACGTCCACTGCTGGTCCTGCACTGATAACAGCATCACGAACTCTTTGGCCAACTCCTTCCTGGAAGGAATACAATGATACTTACATATTTCATGTGATATGTTTGTTGTCTTCAACACTATCGGCATAAGTGGCTGGTTTGACTGAAGAAATATAAGGGCTTTACAGAAACCCGGTGTGTGAAACAACAATTACATCTTGACCCGCCGTGTGAACGAGGATAACAGAATTCGGCTGAATTTGCAAATGCGATGCCAAACTTTTGGGGTTTAGGATTTAAGAATTGAGGGTTTGAGTATTGGAGACGAATTGAACCTCCTAAAACCTCACTCACACAAGGTACACCAGGTAAGCTATATTTCACGTCATTGTTCATATAAATATATGATGATATGCATATGTGAAACAGTGATGTGATTATTAAGGAGGTATATTATTAAAGTTAATAATAATAATTTTTAGTGTGGGTACATGTGGTAGTGGCTGTTTCCAGAGGCCCATTAATTGAGTTTGCCAGTCTTTCCCTGCCGGTTTATCCGTATGCATCAAAATAGGTCAGTTTCGGGGGGCATAATTTATCATAATCTTCATAAGTAGATACTACTTCTAGAGATAGATCTCTGGTTAGATAAATGGTCAATACGACACAATTGCAAAATAACCTGGCATCAATCAGGGAAAGTCCTTGTGCACTTTCATAGTGCACAAAGGAACAATTGCCGGATGATGTCCCATTTCATTACTGTTAATATTCAAAAGGCCTTTACGAGTTAGCTTTGGCCACTCATACGCTTATCAAAGATCTGGGAGGCTGTGGCCCCGTGAATAGAATCGAACATACATAATCTTTAGACTAAAACTCAAAACTATAGAACCTTAGTAGTTTTTAATGAAAACAAAAATTACAAAATCAATACTCACAATTTCTTTGAAGAGGTCCCATGCTGATACAGTTGACATGATCACGAAACAGACGCACAAGAAAATTAGGATTTTGGAATTCATTTTTTTGGACTTGGCTTTGCCTCTACCGTGCACCCTGTGACTTGAAGAAAGGTTGGAATGAAACTGATGTCTGTACAAGAACAGTTTCTAGTTTATATACAAAATTAAAAACACTATATATAAACTTACAATCAAAACCCATATTCACAGTTATTGAAAACTCTTCCTTGTAACTACAGGATAAGTCATACATTCCTTTTCTTTACCTTTTTCAAACGTGTCATTGGAATTTCTTCTTTAGAGCAGTGTATTTAAACTTTATAACAGTTTACAATACAATCGTAAGTTCAACAATGACTAAGAAACATCTTACGGGAACTCCCTTGCAGAAAATAACCTTACAAGTTATCATATGTACATTGTAATTTCTTTGTTTAATAATGATATTGGAAAATCAACTTAAGTTGTGAAGATTTAAAGGCTATTATTATTTGGTTTTACAGTGCATCTTTTTATATATATAACATGTTAAATATTAGTATATTATGAAACAGCTTATGTAATAGTTCTTTTTTTAAAAAAAAAACCTTGCATATGATTTTTCTTCTATATCGTGGATGCGTTTACAAACATACAATTTCATATACATCACACTCAGACCCGGAAAAAAATGTGGATCACACAAAGAGTTTTTTTTGTGTCCGAAATCGGACTCGCGACACGTTGCACGGCAGCCAGTTGCCTCCGCGATAACCAGTCTTCGAATCTCCAAAAGGCGATGCACTCGCAAGAATTCTGAAAAAGAAAAAACCCTTCTAAAAATTAAAAACAATTGAATATACTTCCAGTTATTTCCAACACAATCGTAAATTCGGCTTGATGACAGAAACTTACCAGGGATTTGGTTCCCATAAATATCTGTGAACAGCGGGCGAAACTAGATTAATGGGTTTGCCTAAATACGACCCAAAAGGGCACTAGTATTAATTGTTTTAATGTCCAACAGTGGACATTAATCTTGATAGGTGATATACTATATTATTGAAGATAGTTCTAAGTTCTATAATAGTAAATAAGCTTGTTTTAAAAAACTTAAGTGTTTGAGAGCCAAGCTTCGGCACGACCGGAATGATACCACGGCCTCACAGAAAACCGGCGTGAAACAACCACAGCGTTGTGTTTCGCCATGTAAGTGAGGTTACCAGAGGCCCAATCCTTCCCCTTCCCCGATCCTTCCCAATCCCTAACTCGAAATCCAATCAGTGGTTCCAACGAATAACACCTACATACAACTTACACTTACCTCTTTATAATATAAGTATAGATTTAAAAAGAGGGGGTTCTATGGTTGAGGATAGGGGGTAGGATTGTAGTATCATCTTTGTAGCTTGATTGGATTAGACCCTGTCCCGTTCCATACCGGTATCCTGCCTCAATATATGTTTTAATAATCTTACCTTAATTAGTTTCAAGACTCGAAAGACAAACAAACAAACATATTTCATTACAATAGGGAAATAGGCTTAAAGTATACTCTGTGGTAACAAGTTCTTCATCGCGTGCGTTCGTGCAGCGGAATGTTGTTGAATTTAAAGATTTTAATTATGCAGATATTTAGTGTATGACGTCGTATAATTGTGTATGGTAAAAAAAAATTTGTGCACTCAACCATTGTGGAGAAATTCACCAAAAACTTAACAAACCAAACTTTACCAATTCAATACCGGTATTATACTGTAAATTTTGGGAGGTTACCTAAATATATTGCACAGCCGCTTTTTTGTAGCCATCCGAACTTGGTCGGGTTATGTAGGTTTTCGATTCTTCGTCATTATTATAATTGTTTTTCTTTAATTACTGAATTTAATGACATGAAATTTTGCATGTGAATAGTTGAATGAATACACTAATTATTGGCATACATTTTACCATGCAATTCATTTAGAAAGTCGTGATATTTGACTGCTTTGTAAACAGTGATCTATTCATGGTAAATTTGTCCTATAACTATTTAATTACTAACGGAACATCATTGATACTTGGCAACATGTTGCAGACACTTACAAGGTTTGTATAAACGTGAAAATCTAGACCCCAAAGTGCATACTTTAAGAACTAAGACCTAATAAGCGTATTTTACGTTTATATTTTTATCTTTTAAACGCTACGATTTTTTCTAAATCTGTTTTTTAAACAAATATAAACAAATTCAAAACAACGTATGTAAAAATCTACAGCTCTCTATGTAAGCGCTTTATATGAAAACTAGCTAATGGTCAAACGTCCGCGTAGCGGAAACTTGAATTTCTCCGAAGTTTATGCATGCACTAGTTTTATTCATACATACACAATTACACACAAATACACACTAATTTTTGGATACATCTCTTTTCTTCTAAAGTCTATGGATTAAAAAAAGTTCCGCCAGGACAACGTTCGCCCAGCGGAATCAGTTTTTGGTGAATTTCTCCACAATGGTTGCGTGCACAATTTTTTTTTACCATACACAATTATACGACGTCATACACTAAATATCTGCATAATTAAAATCTTTAAATTCAACAACATTCCGCTGCACGAACGCACGCTTCTTCATCAAAAGCCGAATTTATAATATTATCCTACTCCTTAGGTATACATACTTGGCTAGACAGGTATTAATATGTAATACCAAAGGATAAACAGATACTTAATTACCCGCTTTATGAAATCAAAACTCAATTTCCAAATGTCAACTACGACTTGACTATTTATTATACTCATTACACTACTATTCAAAATAATAAATCACTAATTCACAATATAATTATTGTACCTGGTTGAAAATTAATAGTATTTCTCATTCACGCGTAATTGCTATTTATTAAGCGTAGGCGTTTCATATTATAATTTGCAACAATACCAGTTTTGACGTGGGTGGGAAAGCCAGCTTGTGGGTTCTTTGCTGTGGTTAAACCTTCCAACCGGAGTGATTTTTTCTATGAGGGTGATCGGCAAACTATCTGACGAATTACCTAATGGTAAGCTATTGGCGCCGCCCATGGACACACGAAATACCAAAGAGTTACAAGTGCGTTGCTGGCCTTTTGGGGATAAGGTTTTTGGATACCTATTTAAGGATTCGGCAGGGAAAGGGGCGAAGGGCGAAGGGGCTTCGTGCCGAAGCTTGGTGATACTACGGCCTTACAGAAAACTGGCGTGAAACAACCACTGCGTTGTGTTTCGCCGTGTGAGTGAGGTAACCGGAGGCCCAATCCCTCCCCCTGCGTGCACAACATCCACGCCCTCAATGCCATATTCTTCTGTTGTAGAGAGTGTCTATAAGCGGCATTAATTAGTTACTATCAGCCTGCTTGCCGACTTCACATCATTACATACATCATCATTTTATGAGTGCCCACTGCTGAGCAAAGGCCTCTTAACACACGGAGAAGGATTTAGCATTAATCATCACCCTTCCGCTTATTGGAGGCGGATTGGCGATTTCCACCTTATGACTAAAAATTCTAAGTCCAGGTTTCTTTGGTTTAGTCGTATGCCAGTGATCATGGTGTCATGATATATGAAAGTACGTATAAGTTGGAAAAAGTAATATTGGTAAATATCGTCGTGGTGGCGAATTCGAAATTAAAAAGGCGGTTCGAAACCTGGCAAGTACCAATGTGACATTTTCCGAGTTATATGTACTTTCTATGATTTAGACACCACTGCCATACGGTGAAGGTAAGCATCGTGAGGAAACCTGGACTTATAGTTTCTAATTATAAGTTTGAAATCGCCACCCGCATTGAGCAAGCGCGGTCAAACCTTCTCCGTGTGAGAAGAGACCTTGGCTCAGCAGAGGGCCTTATAGGCTGATGATGATGATGAACATTGGTACTTGCCAAGTTTAACCTCCGCGTCACTACGAGGACACTCTAATTTATTATAAGCACTAATCTAAAATTCACAAAGCAATATTCCATCTCGTCTCATTACATCCGTACGTTTGCTTTAATTAGTAATTCCTTTTCGTTACAAAGTTAGCTTTTAATTTTGAACAGATTATTATAAAACAGCATATTTGATTAATACAAATTAGGTGTCAAATTTACAATGTCTAGATAGGGACTAGGAATCAGATTAATTTAGTTATAAATTAAATTTTATGAACTTTCTGCCACATGAAAACCTCTGTTGTAATTAGCAGGCGTTTGGCTGCTATCACGCCAGGTAGTAAGCGCTGATGCAACCTATGTTAAAGCACGCCTGCCTATTTAAGGGACGATCTTCGGCCACCGTAAGCGCGGGTCTGCGGTCGGCGAGTAAGGGCAGCTCGCCGCCCGACCAGAACCAGACCCGAGCGTACGGCGCGTAGCGTCCCGCGCGCGTCTCAAAGAGTCAATAGGGGGGCCCTATAAGGCTGATGTGAGGCACCGTGACCTCGGCACAGAGCAGGAGAAGGAACAGGGGGTTTTTAGTCAGTAAGAGTCTGACACTCCCTCCCACCCGGCCTTAGGCGGAAGAAGTCATTTGATGATTTTTCCCTCCCCAAAAAAATAAATAAAAACGACTGCCTATTAGTAATCTATTCACTCGGGCCTAGAAGGCACCCAGGTCGTCCGGAGTACTTATTTGAAGGTACGGATTGGTTTTTAGTCAGTTAGAGTCTGACATAGGTTCTCTCTGCCAGTGAGAAGAAGGATTTTTTTTCAGCATTGGCCTTATGGGCTGATGATGTGGTATGTAAAGCCATAAGAAAAAAAAACCGTTTCACACTTAACTTGCACTTACGGGGAATAACATCAACAGCAATATTATAATTATTATAAATATTATAAGTACAGAAACATAAACCAAATAGAAACATTGATAAGAGTTCTTCCCACATCCCGAGTGAATCGAGACGTTTGACCTTATAACCTCAAAATGATTAATAAATAGCAATTAACAATATTAATTTTATATTATCGTTATAGTTTATATTTTAATTATAGCAAGAAATGCGGGGAAGGACTTTAACTTTCTTTAGTAAATTTCATCAATCAGTCAAATAGTCGATAGAATGTTTGGTCCATTTT